TTAAAGCTATTGTGTTGAATGTTTAATATAATCATGTGTTAATTTAACATAATTTGATTGTGTTATTTGGACATTTTGGCTTATTTGATATTCAACATTTCTAATAAGGGGCATCACTGTCCGACACTGATTTGATTCTTCGTGAAATACGTTGTTAAACACAAAAACCTAAGAGACACGTATTTTTTTATACATGAGTTAGTGCACGTATAAAAAAAATGTGGTTCTTAGATTTTTGTGTTTAACAACATATTTCACGGAGAATTAGATCAGCGCCGGACAATTGGGTGACGTTCCTTGTACGTATAAAGGAGACACAATTTACCAGTAGAAAAATATATAACATAGAACTAATGTGTTTATAGAGCATAAATTCTAAAATAAATAAATCAAAGGTACGCTAATTATATATACATATATTATAAATATTAATTTTATTCACAAAATATACTTTCATAACTTTTTCCAATTATGTCTAATTGTTTTACTTGTATTAAATTCTTATATAATATTTGCATTACTTCTTAACATATATCATCTTGTATTACAATTACACAAAAGTTCGAATTTATCGTTAGACACGTGAAATAATAAAAAATTGTTTAATGAATATCAGTTGGGGCTCATAAAACGGCCTTATTGATCATCCTCCTTTAACAAAAATTTTTTAACTTCGTAGGCATGGGAAACACTTGATACAGCAAAATTAACATCTTACTTTATTGTATATTTATCGATGAGTTTCAATATTTTTATATTTTGTTACATCGGAGGAATTGTCACTGAACAGGTAATACGTCGAGGATTAAAATATACTGCAACAAAAATTCACGTTTTAACATTTCTTTAACAAATTAGTTAATATTTTAAGAAAAGAATAAAATGTAACACTTCCATATTGAAAAAATTTTTTTTTTAATTATAATTTTTTAAATGAAATTGTCTCATTTTTAAGAATCCTGAATATTTCTATTTTCTTTAACATTACGTTAATCCAAATTATACTTACTCATACGAAATTTTATATCAAATTAGTGCAAACTTGTTGGAGATATGGCATATATGACTAATTGGTATAATTTACATCACACAACTGCACGTAGTCTCGTTGTGATTATTGCCCGATCAAATAACGTAATTAAGATCACTGCAGGAAAGTTATTCCATTTATCTATCGCAACTTTTGGTGATGTAAGTAACGCACGTGTATCGTTCCTTCCATTGATTATTAAAAAATTAATAAATTATAACTTCTTTGTAATTTATTAGTAACAAAATATCATCTCATAAGAATTACATTACCTAATTAAATTATTCATTATATATGAAATATTCATATATGTTTGTTCGATTTGAAATTTTAATAAATCCATACCTAAATTAGTAAGAACTTGTAGAGTATGATATACATTATTTTTTCTTTCTATGGAAACAAGTATATTGTTGTTCCAGGTAATTAAAACTTCCATGGCGTATCTAAATTTTTTGCGAGCAATGACGTAAAAAATGGTTAAGTGAAATATAAGTTAAAATATATACAAAAATATTATATATATTTTATACGGAACAAATTACTGTATTCTGAAAATAAGATTAGTCCCTTGTTGTACAAATTTGAAATTAGAAATAAATGACCCTACAAATATTACTGCAAAGATTTTCAGGAAACGTTTATGGTCATATTCTACCCAGCATAAAAATTTTGTAAAAAAAATTTCAATTTTGGCTGGGTTTATGCTTACAATCTATTGTTAACGCAAAATAATAATTTCTTCATGTTACAAATATAGATACAAGTTTTAGAAACAATAATATCAAATATGTTACACAAACAATTATATAACGCATAAAACAAAGAAATATTATAAAATGATAGATGTATAAGGCACTTAACTGTATAAGGCACTATGCCACAAAGGTTAATAAAATCAATAATTATATCAAAATCGTTATGTTGTTGAAACATTTTGTATTAAATTGATCGACAACAATTATTAGTATTAAAGAAATTCATAAACAGGCTTTAACGTAATATATAAATGACATAATAATATATAGTTTTAAAACATAATTTCTAAGTTAAATGAATAAAATGAATAAGTTAATTTAAATTACAAATATTAATTTTGCTCAAGAAATATGCTTCTATAATTTGTTTCTAAACTGTATATATCACAGTATTCTATTTGTTTATATGTTTATTTCTTATGTAATATTTGCATTGATTTCTAACATATTCCATCATGTGTTACATTCACATAAAAAAGTGGATCATTAGCCACGTGAAATACGTTGAATTCAACGCAAATTCTTTAACTGCGTAGGAAACACTTGATACAGGAAAAATAGCATCTTCCCTCACTGTGTATTTATCGATGAGTTTCAACATTTTCATATTTTGCTACATCGGGGAGATTATTACAGAACAGGTAAGAAATATTGAGAATTAAAAAATATACTAAAACTAAGGAAAATATTGAATTTTGATATTTTTTAATTCAGTCAATATTTAAAGAAAGTGTGAAATATAATGCTATTACATTAATCGAAAAAATGCTAAAATATAATTGTCGTTTTTAACAATTTTGAGTATTTCTGTTTTTTTTCAACATCATATATAATCTCAATTATTAAATTCTTTTCATTACTCGTAGAAAATTTTAATCTTATATCAACTTATTAGTGCAAATATGTAGGAGTAACGGCATATATGACTGATTGGTATCTACATTATAAAACTGCACGTGATCTTGTTTTGATTATAGCCCGATTAAATAACGTAATTAAAATCACCGCAGGAAAGTTAATCCATTTATCTGTCTCAACTTTTGGTGATGTAAGTAATGGAGATTCTTTACCGAGATTCGTCGTTTTATTTTAATAAAAAGTTAATAAATTGCATTTCCATTATACATTATTAATTGTAAACTAGGATCATCTTATAAGAATTGAATAATTGAATTCAATTGTTCAATTGAGTTATCCATAATCTTTAAAATACCCATTTAGTACATTCAATTATACGTGGGCGATTAAAAATTTCAAATTTTAATATACTTAGGAGGGTAACCGAATCAGTCAAGTTATTCTTTATTATTTATTTAATACTGATTTGTGTGTGTGTGTGTGTGTGTGTATATAAATAAATATTGTAAATTGTAGCATGATGTTTCTAATACCTATTATAACATGTATAACTTTTCATCAATAACAAATTAATTTAATATATATCTTTTTATAACATACTGCAAAAGGTATGATTTAGGCAATTGATCATTTAACTAAATAATCTGCAGGTTTTCCAAATTATATTTTCTTCGAAAATATCGAATATATGGATAATAATAATTAAAAATATTAGATTAATCATATCACATGTTTTTGAATTTTCGAAATTTAATGTATCTTATAACATATACAGCTTATAGAATTATGATATTGTTTTTGCATTGTGTAGAAACAAGCAGGATGTTGTTTCAGATAATTAAAACTTCTATGATGTATTTAAATCTCTTAAGAACAATGACTCTATAGAACATGGTAAAGACCGTTAAAGTATAAGTTAAATAAAAAATATGCAAGATATCCACTATATAGAATAAATTAACATATCTTGAAAAAAAGATTTATTAACTAAAATCGGTGATTATGTCAAAATCGCAAGTGATTATAAGTCATTAAATTGTTTTCAAAGATATATACTAAGTAATTTATATATTTTTCATGGTTATTATTATAATTTTTGTATTTAAAAGTACAAACTTTTATATTCATCGAAATTATATATAATATTTATCCTTTTTAGCAGTATAAGAAGCACATCTATATATAATCAAATAAAAAACATAGCAGACATTAAAGTGCGTTCATTTCTACAAATTTATATTCGTATGTGCGATATTATTCTAAATGTATGTGCCAAACATTTATTGATCAGATACGCAATCATTCGAAGCAGTTGCACTATTACTCGTCAAACTCTTTCGAAGATTGGCAAAGCGGTTACTTCACAACTTTGACGCAATCAACTGGCCCATTCGTAACAGTGCTTTGCGTGACTACGTAAAATGTCATGCCGAACCATAAGTGTGTGACAGGAAAAGCGTTGAATTGAAAAAATAGGACGACTACAATTTGCAATCGACCACATTGTCTTTTCTTAAATTATTGTAACTGAGTATATATTAATCGTCTACGCGGAAGATGGAAACATGTTGGTAAAATTAAACATTTGATATATTGTAAAACATTTCATTATATAAAAATATGTTTTAGTATTATAATATACATGGAAAGTATTATGCGGAAAGTTTGACTTGCTAAGTAAAGTTTAATTAGATATTATTGCATTTAAAATTATCTAAAAAAAAGATGAATACTATAAATATATTAGCATGTATTATAATTCTTATAATTATATAAGTAATAGAGTGATCATATTATTATATTAGAGAAGTAATTATATCCATTCACTATATTTTTCATATTTCAAGATATTCTAATTCTTATCGCCACTTAACTTGTCCTGTTAATCAATAAGTAAATATGATTAAAAGATGCTACTAAATTAAAAAATTTTTTAATTTCCTAAAATATAGAACTTTTATGTCAGTATTCACAGTCAGACTTTATATTTAAGGCTTTCTTAAATTTATCTTTAGATGCTCAGTAGCTAATAAAATAATTCGTAGAACGCCTGAAGATAAATTTAAGGAAGCCTTAAATACATGACATTACTATCAATACGAGCATTAATGTCACTTTCACAATTTTATTTTTCCTTACGCTCTTCATAACACGCGATGTTCTCTCAGACATCCGATAATAAAAACTCTCAATGAACAATTACATCGATTGAATATATGCCCCTCTCAAGGTACCTTTACGATATTAGGTCGTTCACCAAACTCTGATGAAGATTGGCGCAGGCGCTTTTTCATATTCCGTTACGATGTATTGTCCATCTGTGCCAGTATACCGTGTGCTTTCGTGCAGCGATCATGTCAACTTCCAAATGTGCATCAGAATATAACAGATCGAAAAAATGTAACGATTACAGTTTGCAATTTACTCGATGGTTTCTCAAGCCAATTGGTGCGTGGCCACAAATAAACACATCGAGTTCAGTGTGCAAAATTGTGATATTACTACACATTTTTATTTGTTCAAGCATGATAGCATCCAATATGGTACCATGTTTGTTATATGTATTATTTGAAAAAGTCAATATCAAGCTAAAACTGAGTGCCGTTGGGCCATTACTTCACAGAGTTATGGGCTCGGTACATTACTGGGTGCTGCTTAAGCGCAATAGTGATATTTACAAAGTAATACGACACATGGAAACAGATTGGTGTCTGATACAAAGGCTTGATAATCGTGAATTAATGCTACAACAAGCTAAGTTCGGTCGCTTTGTCGCCATAATTTGTGGTATAATCATGTATGGTGGTACAATCCTGTTCAGCATAGCAAAGGCAATGAAAACCATAACCATCGACGTCGGTAATGAAACTTTTACAACACATCCGATGACGTGTCCGGTTTATAGCAAGATTATTGATACGAGATTTAGCCCTGTGAATGAAATCGCATTGGTTTTACAAAATCTCGCAATATTAGTAGTGAGTTCCTCTACTGTCGGTGCTTGCAGTTTGGCTGCCGTTTTCGCAATACATGCTTGTGGTCAACTGAAAGTGCTGAATGCGTGGCTACATGAACTTGTTGAAAATCAAAAGAAGGGGAATGATACAGCTGAACGAAAGCTAGCTGCTATTGTTGAACATCATCTGAGAATATTGAGGTATTTCGTATGTAGGCACTCATACAAAAAATACACATCCTCTAAAGCTGTATAAGACGGTTTTAAGTATTATTAAAATTAATTATTTAAGAATATGAATATTCAAAATTAAAACAAATTAATTTCTTCTTTTTTATAGATTATTAAAAGAGAGTCTGTTGTCAATTGTGTTCATGAAAAGTATAAGTTGAATGTACCGACGTTTATTTATAAAAAAAATTATACTGTTTTATATATATATATACATTTATATACGTTTCAGTTTTATATCACAAGTGGAAAGTATTATGCATAAAGCCGCTCTTGTGGAATTAGCCGGGTGCACGGTAGTCATGTGTTTGCTTGGATATTACACTATTACGGTATGCTAGAGATATAAGAAAATGAAAATTTTGGTCACAAGTAAATATCATTTAATCATGAAATATCAAACATATATAGCTATTCTATTATAAAATGTGTATAAAAAATTAGACGCAATTATACAAAAATTAAAATCTTTATATATTAATTTTTTTCATAGTAAAAAATATTTTGTGTTTATATTAAAATCAAACATAACTGAAACTTTTTTGTCTTGAATTTTTAACATACTCAAGTTTCAATTTAATATAATAAGAATCTATTTGAATATTTTGTGTTGAATTGATATTCGATATTTATTAGTATTATTAAAGAAATAATTTACGTGAGTGAAGAAATAAAAATAACGCAATAAGTGAAAGCATAAAAGTAATGCATTTTTTAAAACGTAAATTCTAAGATAAATGAATGAGTGTATCAATTTAACAAATTATAAATATTAATTATTCTCAAGAAATATACTTCTACAATTTGTTTTTAAATTTTATCAAAGTGTTTTTTTTTCTGTTTAATCTTTACATAATTTGCATTACATTCTAATATACTCCATGCTACATCCATACAAAAATTTGAGTGTACTGTTAAATACAAAAAATAAGTTAAATTAAATACAAATTTTTTAATTGAGTAGGCTTGGGAAACACTTGATACGACAAAAATAACATCTTCTCTTATTGTATATTTATCGATGGGTTTCAATATATTTATATTTTGCTACATCGGAGGAATTATCACTGAACAGGTAATATGTCGAGAATTTAAAAACATACAATCCAACAAAAATATTAGACTATCATTTTTCAATAATTCAGTCAATATTTCGAGAAATGAATATCGTACTTTTACATTAATAAAAAGTAACTATATAATGTCTCATTTTTAACTTAAATATTTTTCTTTTTTGTATCAATATATTAATCCAAATAATCAAATTCTTTTCACATTACTCAGAAAATTTAAATTTTATGTCAATTTAATAGTGCAAAAATGTTGGAGAAATGGCATATATGACTGATTGGTACAATCTACATCATAAAACTGCACGTAGTCTCATTCTGATTATTGCCCGATCGAATAACGTAATTAAGATCACAGCAGGAAAGTTATTCCATTTATCCATAGCAACCTTTGGTGATGTAAGTAATACAAATATACCGTTCCTTTCTATGGTCAATAAATTATACAATTTCCTTGTACTTTATTAATTTCAAATTATGATCATCTTATAATGATTGCACTTTTTTTATTTTACAATTTATAATATATAATTAAAACATCCATTACCTTTAACACATCCATACATTCAATTACATGAATGTGTTTGATTTAAGATATCAAATTTTTAAAAATCTGTAAATGTGTCTAATTTATAGAATTTGATATACAATATATATAATACATTTTCTTTGCTTTCTACAGAGAAAAATATTTGGTTGAATTAATTGGAATTCTAAAGTGGAAAATGAACGATCCCGAATTCTGATTAAATCTACTAGATTTCTACTTAAATCTATTAGAATTCTAATTGAGATAATCAACATTCAGAATTTACTTAGTTAAATCTACATTTCTATTAGATTTAATTGGAAGTTTAGTAGAGTTAACCAGAATTCTGGATTTTTCACCATTTATGTCCATTTTCCACCAGAATTTCAATCAATTCAATGAAATATTTTTTTCTCCGTGTACAGAAACAAGTGTACTATTGTTTCAGGTAATTAAAACTTCGATGGTATATTTAAATTTTTTGCGAACAATTATTCTTAGAGCAATTAAATCTAGAAACATTTTGACACCAAAATGAGCCGAGCAATTAATTGCTTTAAGGTACTTTACTCTTGTACGCGGCCAGCATAGCCACACTCTTAGTCGAATTTTTCGACTTAAACGGTGAGCAAAAAAATCCGATTTG